ATCACAAAATGGTAGCATTACTCACTTAGTTACAATGGTATGGTATTTAAATCAATATGTACATTTATTATACGTATTTAAAAAAATCCAGACTATATCTAAAGATCCACACAAAGTCCGAACATGTCCGGACTAATCGGGACGGATGGTAACCCTAATTGCAACTAGCACCATTTTTATTAAATCACATATGAAATACCTACGGTAATATGAATAATGATATGTGAATATATTTGTGTAAATATATAATTTATTTATGTTTATAATTTTAAGCATGTAACTGCTAAATGTATAAATCTAAAGAAAATTTTACTAGAAAAAAAATCCACGCGGACCAAGCAGCATCGGGACTCGAATTCGCACCCTTCGCTATCCGGGCGAATGCATTAACTTTGTCCATTATCAAATTGGCGGCTATGAAAAGGTAAAATCTTTCAATCAATCGATTTAAGCTGACCGCATTATTCGTTATTTACAGCAAATATCCTTACGGCAACAGGAGTTTTCACAAATGTCGTCTACAATGATCAATATACTGTACTATCTTCATGCTGAATGCGGATACAAGAAAACTTTGTATCCTGCAATTTATTGATTAATTTGTAACTGGCCCTAGATTAAGTGACAAGTTAAAAAAAAACTCACACGTTATCAATTTAGCAATGGCCAAACCAAATAAAAGAGGCATTTTTAAATCAAGAATCTGCGGCTTTTACTTTTGAAAAGGTAAACAAAATACCGGATTTTTTAAAAACCTCTTTGAATAGTGAGCTAGAGGTAACGTTGATTTCTCCGCAGTACAAAACCGGCGGGCGGTCTCATGGTTATATTCAACGCTAACTTGCATAATAATGATGAAAAAAAAAAGGTTTTATGAATGAAAATGTTTCTTCCGCCGTTACGTATTTGGTCTGTGTCTGTACTGAGTGCAGAGCTGTGAATGACCTAAGAGTTTTTGAGATATATTGATTTATTTATATATATTTTTTATTAAGTAAATTTGTATTTACATTTAACTAAAGAACAAATAGTAAGATATTTATAACTAAAAACCTTAAAAAATAAAATTAAATATAATAACTAAAATACATTATTAAAAGGAGTCCCTTTAAGCAAGTTTCCGAAGATACTGGCAGCGTTCCCCCTTTGAATAGCTAGACTAATTCTTTGTTCGAGGTAGCTGCCAGCTCTTCGGTCTTCTGTGATATCGACTAACCTTTTGCTATTTCCTTATATATATATATATATATATATATATATACATGGGAATATCACCAACCAAATTATTTAACTAAAGTACACAAATACTTTTTTATATGTTGAGATATTCTGTCTTGTTCAGTCACAGAAGTCCAGTGCTTTTTAAATATACTTACATAGTGTATGACAATAATTTAGGATCATTATCAGAATCCAACCCTCATGATTTATTCTAAATGCGATTATAAAAAAGGTTTTTATCACCATTTACCAATGAAGTTTCCTTGACCTAAATAGTAATAATAGTACAGATACAACTGGAGTTCCTAGAACGCCTAAAAAGGTATTTTCAAGTTTAAATCACGTTCTTGGCACAGAACACGTATTGCTATTTGCTATTATCAGTATTCGCGTAACAATGTGGCGTAAAACGAATCGTCACGCAACCGACGCGACGTGTCACAGATATGTTTCTATTTTATCAAATTACATAAATAAAAAAAAAGTTTATAAATTTAAAAACACGCTTTTATTTTACTGCACTAAACAAAATATACTCTCTGTTAACTTCATGAGGATAGCGTTAGCCATGTTTATATTTTATTTTAACATATATACTCGTTTAATCGAAAGAAGCGTGGGGCGCTTCATAATAAAATTTTAACTGAATTATTAAGCATTATGAATCTCGTAATAAATTAATTAATGATAATCAAGTAAACAGAGAGTATATTTTGTTTATTTTTGGCTTTTCAGTGCAGTATTATATAAAAACGTGTTTTTAGTTTTTTAAACTATTAATTTATTTTTCTCTTTTAAGTTTATTACAAAACATAGAATGAGTTTATTGCGATATTAAGACGAATATAATGAGTCCAAACAGGATATGTTTACTAGTAGGCAGTCCAAGGTTCCTTCAGCCACCTTCCAGTCCCATCATCAAACCAACTCGATGGTACCATAATATTGTTTTGTCATCTAATCACCATATTATTGGCAAGTTTCATAATGATATAAATATTAGAAGTGCGTGTTATTCATATTCTTAGATTCCATTACATAGTTACATGCAGGTCGAGCCGGCAAGTCAGAGGGATGTATATGAGAGTAAGGGCATAGATTTTTGCTCGAATCGGAATGACTGTCTGGGGAAGAAAATTCCAACTTACATAAGACCGAAGTAAAATTACACGCCGTTTGTTAAAACAACCTAATCGTTAATTGCAAAAGGAGTAATTAATTATTTTGTGTGAAAGATATGCAAGTACGTTTATCCGTGAACGACCAATAATTACAGCGAATCATGCGCATATGTAGTTAGTTGTATAACGATATAGTTATCACAGACGTAGTTGCATTGGTGTAATAATAATCACCCACACCTCCTACATTACTTTCTAACATAATTGAGGAGCTCGATGGTGCAAATGGTTAGCGCGTTCGGCTCCGATCGTTGAAGTTAAGCAACTTTCGCAGTGGTCGGTCATTGGATGGGTGACCAAAAATTTACTCGAGCTCCTTCGTGCTTCGGAAGGCACGTTAAGCCGTTGGCCCCGGCTGTATCTGCAGTCGTTAACACCCACCAACCCACACTGGGCCCGCGTGGTGGGTCATGGCCCAATCTTCCTATTCCATTCATACGGAAGGCTTGATGATGATGATAATTTTTATTATTATTGCTTTGGAAGGAATCCCCCCCCCCCCGCCCTCTAAAAGCTTAACTAGCTTGGCTTGAAAAACCTGGAAAAATTAATGATGATAGTGCTTTTCATGAACTTTTAAGGAAAACTATAACGGTTAAGATATATTTGTTAGTTTAAGAATAATAGTCGTGCAACATTGGTCAAAGAAAATTTCTTACCTATTGAAAATTACTTGGAAGAAAATATTAATAGTGACATAGATGAAGGTATTGTAGCGTAAAACATTGCATCAAAATAGGGATGTCGAAAGTTGAAAAAAATATCGATATATCGATAAATCGATATTTTAAAAAATATCAATATCGGCTTCGATATATCGCGAAAAAAACATCGATATATCGATATATCGGACCAATTTTCCCAAAAATATCGCTCACGAAATATGACACGCGGAATAATAATGGAACGAAAATTATCTCCCTAAAAATAGACCCTATTTTCGAATGATGACATAGACAATACTAAATACCGCACAGATCATAGATATGTTGTATATCATTAATCTGAGATCCAGTTACGATTTTTCCAGATACGAATTTAGTTAGATCGTGATATGCCGCTAATAATTAAAAAAATATCGTTTTTGATACGAATTTCGATATTGGTTATTTTGTATCGATGTATCGATATATCGAATCAAAATATATCGGCAAAAAATATCGATATATCGAACAAAAAATATCGATATATCGATACATCGATATATTTTCAACAAGCCTACATCAAAATCTTAAAAAAAAAGTAATAAGTCAGAAATTAGAAAAACCAATTAATATCAATCTATGTATCTTACCTAAAATACCTAAATCAAAGACAAACTGCGTCTGAAACTCAAAATCAATTCGATACAATTATTTTTTTAAATAAGAATGATAACCGCTGATTTTTTTTTTATTCCTCCCAGGCGAAGGAGCAGGTGTGAAATCACTCATGGATACTACTGTTACTTTGTATTATAAAAAACTTCTGCACAACTCTTTTGAGTTTGAGACGTAGTTTGACTTTGATTTAAGTATTTAATTAATTGAGATACATAGGTTGATATTAATTGGTTTTTCTAATTTCCGATATAAATATGTAGAAAACAAAGACTCCTGCTCAAATATATTGTGGTAACTACAGGCAACTACGGAACGCTACACTGCGCGAGCACCACACGCACTTGTCCGGTTTTTATTCCTTATTAAGCACGATAAGGACAGACTGTTTACAACTAGCAAATACAAATAGTCGGCAAAAACGATGCAACACCACACTGCAAACGACGTGGTGACGCGCGGCTAGATGACTTGCATAGCTTGTCTCCAAGCTAGGCTCTTTATAGCCTTACGCTTAATTGAATTTTAAGTTCAAAATAATGGAATGTTTTTTTTTGATGTGTAACATCTTTCCTCTCGCTTTCCTGCAATTTGTGGGAGTGATTTCGTGAAATGGGACGGAAAAGTGTAACAGGGAATCGCGAAAGCGCGCACTATTTAATTTGATTTTAGAACATAATGTTCAAATAGCTTATTCCTTTTGTAGTAGGTTTTATTTCTTTTTTTACTAATATAATATAAGGTGAGGTTTGAAATGTTACATCATACGCGACTGCTGTAAGGCTCGCCCGTTTTTTTTTTCATATACTAAACATTACATAAACTTTAATATTCAGACGATTCTCAATGATAAACTAATATGCCTCTAATAAGCACTTGATAAAATATCCGATACACGATCGGCCTTAGTCTGACCTTAAGTTTACATAACCCACTCATTCTTTGGTTAAGCAAAACAAAATTACATATACCAAACACCGCTACCGATAAAACGTGCAATTACAATCTTATGGTATTAGAATAAGAATGAAGTGGCTGAAGAAACACCTGCGGGCCTAAGTTGGTCAAGTGTAAGTTACCAAAGACGTAAAACACCATCCGCTTATAAATTTGTTAAAGATGACCTAGCGATAAGTTAATAGTATTAGATAATGTCGAAATATCAGATACGATTAATAGAGATATGATCAAAACAAAGAATACTATAATTGAAAAATGTTATTTTCGTACTTGTGCAGTTTTGTTATGTAGAGGACGGAGAATTGAATTTCTTACTTACATTCTTCAAAACAAGGGCTTCAAGATCGCTCACAGTACAATCCAATCTGTAATAAAACAAAATATATATTTTATTTAAAATGGAAAAAATATACAATAAGCTTAGGTTAAAACAAAAATATTTTTGTTTTAATCTAAAGCAACAGGTTTAAATAGGTAATACATAGTTCCGCTATTGCATACTAGATAGCGCTGTTTTGAAAATTCCTATCAACTAGAATAGTTACTGCCCTTCCTTTGTTAGTTATGAAAATATCACATTTTCATAACTGTTTCCCATGACACGTGATGAAACACAGTAACAAATACCACCATGAGAAATGTGGACTGCTATCGGTACCAATTCCATTGTTGGTTATGATTATGTGTTGTAATCTAAGCCACAGCTATAAGAAAGGTAAATTATAAAATCCTCAAGTTTTGTTTTTGCGAAGAACGAGTTTAATTAAACGACAACGACGGTTAGAAAATTATCATGTCTTAGTACTAAACTTAAAAGTGATATCAATAAAATACAAAAAAAAGGAATGCCCCGGGTGAGGATCGAACTCACGACCTTAAGATTATGAGACTTACGCGCTGCCTACTGCGCTACCGAGGCCGGTCATGCAATGAACAAAATTACCATATGTAATCTAGAAAAAGATATAAGAATATTATTAAGTTGTTTAAAAGTATTTTATATACATATTTATAATCATGGTTTTATTTAAGATGAAAACATTTTACCTTCTTCAAATAAAAACAAATATACCTATTTATACACATTGCAAATTCAGACGTCAATAAAAACAAACTTGAAATTTTAGAAATATTAACCCGCCCGTATCATTTAATTATTATTATCGTGGTGAAAACAAAATTAGGTGTATATTTCGTACCTAAAGTGTTGTAAGTACTATGTATAAACTATATGAATGACGTAAACGGAAATTGAAACTAGTGTGACTATCATGTACGTATCCGTATTTTTCTCCAATCAATGGCCCTTTAATCAAGCATTCTAAACTCACAAATACAATATCACACACACAAAAATAATCTAGTCTAGGGTTCAACTTCGTAACTAACGCAAGGTAAATGAAGCCGCCGTAAAACAAGATGTACTTGTACTTTCCAACATTTACAAAAACTGCATTTTTTTATGTTTTACAAAAAATGGGGTATAAATAATGCAAAACTTTACGCTATCTGAATCTGCCCGGATAGCGGAGGGTGCCGCCTTCCACTACTCGTTACCCTCCCAGTGGAAAGCGGGCATTAGAGTACCGTCTGTTATCTGAAGGCCAACCATTTTTGACAGCTACGTAACATATCGTCACCGTCAAATTTTGTATAAAAAAAACTAGTTTGTTCATACGTCCGATAGAGGGCGTTGATTAGTTTTCATAGAAACTGAAAATGCGATACGTCACGGAGCTGTCGAAAACTACTCGTGCTGGGGCCACGGCACAACGTGGATTTTTTCTATTAAAGTTTTCTTTAGATTTATTAAATCTAACAGTTAAATACTTGAAATAAATGTAATATAGTTATTATTTTTATTACCTACTTAATCATTTAACTGCTAGGTGTTTAAATCAAAAGAAAATTATTTGTTATGAAAATATAATATACTTTAATAATAAATTTTTACTCAAATAGAAAAAGACGGCTTTTATTGGACTTGACAATATACATACAACATAAAACCGGAACTTTTAAATTGCGCCCTACGGTGCCCCTAGGCCTAGCAAAGGGTAGGCTAGCCAACCACAGTGCAAACAACTATGATTTGAAGTTGAAAAAACCAGTACAAATCGTTTTAAAAACAGAACGTTACTGCGTTCTGTTTTTGTACACACAGAAATGTCCTGGGAAAACAGGAAATCCTAGCAAAGGGTCCTTCTTTTACGAATCGATTGTGTGGATCTTTATCGACCGCCGAGTGTGATCCGGCATCAGGTATCTTCACAGTTCCGACTTTCACTTAATTATAAAACTGACTTGGTAAGTCTAGCCAGCTGCATGTTACCAGTGTACCTGCTACCAAATATGGAAAGATTTACAACCTGGGAAAATGTTAAATCTGTTAGTAAAAAAAACAATATTTCATTTATCATAATGGTCAGTGCATTCGCCCGGATAGTGAAGGCTTGGTTCGCGTGGATATTTTAGTAACAAAATTTTCTTTAGACTTAAACATCAAGCAATTAAATGCTTAAATAATAAACTAATATTGATAGGCGAAGAAGAAAACCTCTGTACTATAATCGAGAGACGACCTCCGTGGCCGAGTGGTTTGTACGCGGGTTTCATGGTGTCGCCGACTCGAGAGGTCCCGGGTTCAAATCCCGGTGGGGGCAGATGTAAGTGTGATGAATACGAGCATTTGTACTCCAGTCATGGATGTTTTTGACGTGACAACGTCTTAAATTAGGTTGCGGCTGGGAGTCACTTATGAAAAAGTGTAACGCTCGGTAACGTTACGATGAGTCTCTCGTGTTAAGTTTAAGTTTACATGTACAATGTTTTAGTAAACAAAATATATTTCTATAGTTAAAATTTGTGCAATTCTTATTTTCATTCAATTCCTTGTTCCTATTGTGCAATTTAATTATATTCATATCAATAAATATTCTACCGAGAAAAAGACGTTGTCACGTAAAATCTTCGCCCGTAAAACCGACTTTACAGGCAACCATTTTTTTATAAGTATTTCTATATAAATATACTTATATATGTAAAGTATATGTATTCTATCCGTTACCCTAGCATCCCATAACACAAGCCTTACAGTGCTTACTTTAGGGCTAGGCTAATTGGTGTGAGTGTTGGACATATTTATTTATTTATTTTATAATGCTGAAAGTAGCAAACACATTCAGCTACAGTACCCTTAGTACGAGTTTGAGCTCACGAAAACTATCGTGGTTTTCGTAATTGTAAACTATGTTTCTATGTCTATTTTGGTGAAAAGTAACCAAATATACTTAAAATTTAAGAAGACGCAAATGATTCAATGATAGGATTTAAACACTGTTTATTTGTACTGAAACGAAAACAATAAAATCAGTACCCTTAGTACGAGTGCGAGCTCACGAAAACTATCATAGTTTTCGTAATTATAAAACTCGTAATAAGGGTACAGGATTGTCTGGATCAGATCAGGATACTGTTTGTCTGCTACAATGTCTGTTAGGAGTTCAGCTTTATATATAACGCATCAGAAATAAATTAAATAAATATAAGAGCAATAATAGGGAAAAAAATCTGCACCCCAGCCAGTAGGGACACCATCTAAAGATGATGATGGTCATATATCATTACAAGTACTTATATCATCATCATCATCAGCCTATTAATGTCCCCACTGCTGGGACACAGGCCTTCCCTATGGATGGAATAGGGAGATTGGGCCATGACCCACCACCCACCAGTGCGGATTGGTGGCTGGGTGAGTACATATATACTTTTCCACAAATAAGGTCAAACCGTGAGGTTGTATTGCAGTTGCGGTAGGTTACGATGTCAATTGGATTCGACACAGGTTTATGTAAATAACTTCACGGTAACGCAGTAACACTCAACTGATGACAGTTTAAAACCGTTTTATTTTACACTTACATAACGTATTTAGTCGTATTTTCGCAATGTGACGGCTTGCGATGCCACTGTGATTACTACGGGTTGGACTTCTTGCATGTACTCGGGAACATAAGCTACTAGCTGTGCCCCGCGGTGTTACCCGCGGTTTATTAGGGATATTTTCCATAGCCTATGTGTTAATCCAGGATGTTAGCTAACTCCATACCAAATTTTATTTAAATCGCTCCAAGCCGTTTAGACGTGAAGAAGTAACAAACATACACCTGTCCGTGCGGTGACGGAGAAAGAATACAACTCACCGCCCCTTTTCTTCCCGTGGGTGTCGTAAGAAGCGACTAAGGGATGTCGGAGCTTCCATCCGCTCTTCTGGTGGTAGGGTGCCTAACACCCGCCTGGTTTGTTACCACCGTGCGCATGGTGAAAAACCCGTGAAGTGCTTCTCGCGCGTTTCGGGATCAGCCAGCGAACAACCAGAGCTCGAGTGGAAGTTGTCGCGAAGGATTCGGTCCAGGCGACGCATCCGTGGAACCGATGCCGGGAGGACTGCATCGACCCGTCGGCCAGGGAGACCCGTAGAAACGGCTGTCCCGCTGGCCGCCCGTGGCACAGTACAGGGGCCCAAGCGTTCCTAACCAGTTCGCGAGGCTGCCCCATCATGTCACGCATAATCTCGGGGTGGACCGTCGTGCCGGTTGGTGACCGGGGCGTGGGGTCCCGGCGGCCACTCCCGGGGGGGTGCGGGGGCCCTTCCGTCCGGCGGGTCGGCGCATCTCCACTGCAGGCAGTCAATCGGGAAGACAAACCCCCCTTATTTGCCCGGACTCTTCGCGACGGCGTCCGCTCGTTTTCGCGTCTCTTTTTTTTTTTCACTTCCACCATGGCAGCCTCAATAACAAAGTTTGGACGTACAGCGGTGCACACCCCCACGCCTTCAACGCTGTTTGAGGTCGAGTTCTGCAACATACGCGGACTCCACTCTAACCTCAACGCTGTCCACCACCATCTCGAGACAGCACGGCCAGCATTGTTGTTCCTGACGGAGACACAAATACTTCCGCCTGCTGACACAGGCTACCTTAATTATCCCGGCTACGTGCTTGAAGAGTCCTTCAAAGCGAAAGCCGGTGTATGCCTGTATGTTCGGGCGGATGTTTGTTGTCGCCGTCTCCGCTGCTTGGAAGATCCCTCCTTCTCCATGCTGGGGGTACACGTCGACTCTGGCCCCCGGGCCAGAGTCTACGTGTGCCTCTACAGATCCCACACCGGCGATGTTGAGACAACTCGACTTTTTGAACACCTTAGTCGGGCAGCAGATGACGCGCAGGAGCGATTTCCCAATGCAGAATTGGTGTTTTTGGGGGACTTTAATGCTCACCACAATTTGTGGTTAAGTTCTTCCAAAACTGACCATGCAGGGATCTCTGCTCACACATTCGCTCTCACGCATGACTTGAAGCAA